CATCATCAAAAATCCATTCAAATTTAATTAAAACAAAACAATTTTCCCAGAAACTCGACTAAACTCCAATCTAAAACCCTAAAATTCTGCCCATACAGGAGATTGGTTTAAATCATCGATAAATTAAATTAAGTACAATAGTTTGAAAATTGAAAATGGTTTAAATTATCTAAAATAGCCTGAAAATTTAAGTATTTGAAATTTGGGTGCGGTTCAAAATCCTCATCTCCCAAGTTCGCACGATTGTGACGCTTACTATTAAAACAGCAACAAAGTACAGTATATGTACACATATTCATACACAAAGAGCCTGGAAAATCTCCCACTGTTCGTTGAAAAGATAGAAAATCGAAACTACATCAGGGGAAAATCTTCCAATAAATTCAAACAAATAAAGTACAAATCATGTCCAAACCCTAGAAAAGCAGGAAATCACACAGGGATTTGGATAGACAAGAGAAAAATTAAGGTCCGAAAGAAATTAGAGTTAGGGTTAGGGTTTCGAAAACCTAAAAGAATAACTCGAAAGTGTAAACATTTATCGAGAAAAAAAAAACCTGGAACTTCAAATTTCTACAGAATCTAGAGAGAGAGAGAGAGAGATTACAGTGCACCAAGGTTTTGGAAACGTTGATGGCGAGAGTAGGAACTCTGAAGAACCTTCTTTTAGAAATCTTCGGTCTGGGCCTTCTGGATGATCTTGGGAAGTGTGATGGGAAAGAGAAAAATCAGTACTTAGAACAGGCACATGTTTGGTGGAGACCGCAGTAGATACCTCAGTAGGAATGGTAGAAGATAAGTTATCCATGGGGAGATGATGAGGGTTGAAATAGATAGCAATACAGCAACACAGTCCGAGTAAACAACCAGAAAAGCCGAAAAAAACTCAACGGCTAAATGCTACCGAATAAACAAAATAGCCCACAAAGAAAAAAAAGAAACATAGAGGTCCAGAAAAATGCTTAAAAGCATTAGCACTACACCCTATAAAAGAGAAAAACAAGGGTTCAGACCACCCTCAAGAGGGTGTCGAACCAATCTAGGCTAGGGGAAGAGCTGGTCGAAGTACTCTAGGCCAAGATAAGACCTGGTTGGCAGCAGCAAGACCCTCGGCAGGTGTAATACAGTCTTGTCGAGGGGTATAGGAGAGTGGGTAAGTGGTTTTGGGTGGTCTAGGAGTGGTGAGTTAGGTTGTCGGGTGGTCTAGAGGGGAGAGAAGGCCTGTTGGCTGCTGGAAGAAGAAGAAAGAAGATGAAGAACCTGCTGGGCAGTAAAGAATAGGGGCCAACAGGGAGAAGGGGGTGGTCTAGGGTTTCTGTGTTTTGGCTCTAATACCAAAAAGAATAAAAATAATTATTTGGCTTGCCTATGAATGAGGTAGAGCCTTGTATTTATAATGAAACAATATTACAAAATAGGAAACGAACAAAATAAGAAACGAAGATAAAAAAAGATATTAAACCTGTGGTTGACACAATCACAGATTTTATACACACTACCATAATTACAATATCACGATTTCCTAATTCCAACACTACCATAATTATTATATCACTATTTCCTAATTCCAACAGTAACCCACAAAGGGGTCTTAGGTTCGTGTCCCTACGTTGCACAATATGTGAGGCTAACAGGGTGGTCTCACATATCCGGGGTTTTATCCCAGGTCTCACTGAAGGTAGGGTCAGGGGGTTCCTCGTAATAAAAAAATCAATTTAGTGAAGGGTATGTACAAGCCACGTGTATATACTGACCTCTCTACAAGTACTTCCAAGGATGATCTACTTAGTTCTTTATGAACAGCAATAACACTCAAGACATCTTGGGTGTATGATAAGCTGTTGTTGCATCTCTCCCAACGTGGTACAGTTCCCTGATTTCCATCATTACAATATCTGAGACTGTTCAGTGAGATTTTGCTTACATTCATTATGACATTATTGTATGCATTACAATACATACCTTCCGAACATGTAATGCTTCTTGAACACCATCATCGTTTGCCCAAATGCTATTGTGTGTAAGCTTCAAAGTCTGTTACAGAACTAAAATTAGCCACCCATCTCTCTTTACATCTCATAAACAAGCTGTAATCAGAAAGAGAGAGAGAGAGAGATTACAGTGCACCAAGGTTTTGGAAACGTTGATGGCGAGAGTAGGAACTCTGAAGAACCTTCTTTTAGAAATCTTCGGTCTGGGCCTTCTGGATGATCTTGGGATGATAAATCGCACTTGGGTTTCAAAATATCTTTGTCAGACAGATCTTTCAGACACTACAAATTCAAATAGGTCTCAACTTCTAAGCCTGCAGAACTTGATGGACATACATTATGTACCAGAATTCAGAAGTACTTTAATTCCTCTAACCTTTTGTATAGCACCCATAGCAGTTATGCATGCCGTATTTGCTGGATCTACATTTATATAGTTCTCATTGCAACTTCTTTTCGCATTCTGGAAAAGCATTAACCATTACAATTATCACAAGGGTAAGAATAACAACAAACCTTGTAAAAGGAATAATATTAACCATTACAATTACTTTCTATTTGCTAAAATTTGACTTTCAGTGATAAAGATGGCAATTGTTTTGCATGCAAAAGCATCACTCAAGAGGCAACAGATATTAAAGGAAAAATAAGCAAAGAAGGATTAACAACACAAAATCATAAACATGTGTGAACTAGCTTGAACATATACAAGCAAAGATAGTAAGCTTCTCACATTATAGTAGATTATATACAATTATGCCTCATATGGCCACAAATTAGTGCTCGTTAAGTGTCCCATATGTAGAAGTCCCTATTTTTACTTTATACCTTTTAACAGAGAAGATCCACTTCCCCTCCCCCCTTCCCCAGTTCACTGACCCACAGCACAAAAACAGGAAGAAAAAAAAAGAAAAAAGAAAAAAGGGGGACATTCTTAAGTCACCAATTATCCCAAAAGATTAAGCCGATAGGCCCAACAATGCGTATCAAGCTAACACTCCACCTCACATGTGACCCCATCACGCTCGTGGATAGGCAAATAAATTGACAAACAAGATCCACGAAGATAGACAAAACAGAGTTCACAATGACAAAGATAATGGAGGCAACAAGACTTTAACCCATGATCTCCTAAAACCAGAGCTCTAATACCAGGTCAAGTCACCAATTGTCCCAAAAGCTTAAGCTAATAGGAAATCGGTCCAACAATGCATATCAAGCTAACAAATATAATGTGACTTATTACAATGGAAGATTTTGATTTACCTCATAGATCTCATCCGATATAAGTGCCATTCTATGAGCAAAATCTACTCTTGAGTTCCCATCAATAACTGAATCAGTCCCTGGGCATCCAACCAAGTATCCCTGATACCATTACAAAGACCATTGATTTAAATCACTCAGAAACATAATGCAACGATAAATTGCAATAGCCAAAAAGACTAACTGAAAGCAATCCATGTCTTTAATTAGGTCATGTACTTTGATATTCATATATGGCTTGGCTTTTTCTTTGTTACCTGAAAGTCCATAAACCAAACACCAAGAGTGAGCTAGAATTCGAAGAGAGATTGCTTTTACTGAACAAAGTAGAATTAGTAGTCATGAAATTGAAATACCATCTATTATCTTTTTAGTGATCAATGGGACAGTAAGGCCTGCATAAGAATCACCGCCAACAAATAGTTGAACGGAGAGAAATTGTGGGTGTTCGACCAACCACTGCATCATGTTGAGAAAAATAAAGTTCATTAACAATCAAATCTTCCATGACATGGCTAGAAAGTTTTGACAAAATTTGCAAAGTGGCCGTGGCAGTGGTCATTGCCACACACAGTCGTGATAGAATGGAACCCAGTAGTTCATGATGATTTTTAGAATGTTAGATAATGCAGATCTAGATCTGCATAATGATTTTAAATAATGGTATCAGGATCAGTATCTTACAATTCATAATAAGTACCTTACGATTCGATACCTTTCAAAAGAAAATCGATACTATCATCAATACATATCTTAAATTAAATGTATCTTATGATACGTATGCAATATGTGATGTTATATACGATACGCCATACATAATGCGATATGTATGGTACATAAATACTTCAATTTCTGTAGCAAATTTGAAGAAAAAAAATTCAAATTATTTTTATGTAAATTAATATTGTCAAAAATTTTCATTAACCTGTTTTAAAAAAAAAAAAGCTACTTTTACCTTTTTGACATATCTATTGTATCGTATTAAGAATCTTGCGTTATTAATTTATGCCTTATAAAGATAATATGTATTGCTGCATGTATATATTTAATTTAAGGAACTTTGCTTTTGCAATTGACCGAATTATATATTGTTTAGTATTTTATTATCATAAGATATTTGTTTTTTATAACTACACTTATCTTTTTACCTATTTCTAAAGGTATTAAAACATTTTACGATATGCGATTCAGAAAAATTAAAAAACGATACACAATCCGTATCCCGATTTGACAACAACGATCAGGATATGTAGGTACTAGCAATACGATCATATATCGGCCCAAGTCAAATAGTATCGGCTGATATATCGGTAAATATCAATATTGGAAGTACAAAATTCCGATACATATTGGCCGATACGACGGCTGATATGTAAAAATTAAAACCCTCGTCTCCATACATAATCAATCTCTCACGACTAGTGTTGTCTGCATGATCAAATTGATTGTTTATATCCCTCTGTAAGTTTTGTCTGCTGTAATAGTAATGAAATTGCTCTTTCTTTTTTTCTAACTCACCTTCCTGAGGAACTGGTACGACTGTTCAGCTGATTTTGTGTCTGATGTAGGCCAACCTCCAGGGGTTCTTGCATAAGAGAAACCAGTGCCAACAGGTGCATCAAGAAATATCATGCTAGCAGTCTACATAATTTAACACAATTTTAAATAACAATTACCAAAAAAGAAATCAGAAACAAAAAAATACACATATAATAAAAACAATGCAAGGCATGTAAGGTTTTTTTAACCTTCGTCCTTGCATATGGATAATATTTCAATTTTGGTAACCCTCCAGTGTAGTTATCAATGTCATACTCCATTGGACCTACACAAAGAAAATGAAAGCATCAAGTTATAAGAGAAGTCATTTTATCTCTTTAGGGAACCACCAACTGCATTTAAGCATCAAAAGTGGCAACAGATTAGTTTCAAGAGCATACAAGTATTAACGATTAGGTTCAAAGGTTGAGAGATCACATACAACAATACAATTAAGAATTTGATGTGAAGAGTGAAACCCAAACTTAAAATGGTTCAAGAAAACCATGATTGCAAATCTGGGGCGGGTTTAGCATAGGTTCCAACCACTGAGAATTTTGACTACTTAGAAAAAGGCTTAAGTAAATTTAACATTGTATGCCCTGACCTTGTATGAGGCCATATAAATTCATCTACCTCATGTGAAAAAGCGATGTTAGGATAAATTGTATGGCTTGAGATACTATCATTCATAAAAGATTATTAATTTTAATGGTTGTCCAAATTATGCCCAACAGTTTCTGTACCCAATCTACCCATCCCCAGATCCTATCAACTAGGACTAAATTGGGCATTCTTTAAGCTAACCCCACTTGAGTGGGACACAAGGTTTAATTTGGTTTAGTTTGGTTCTTTAAAATTTCCAATGTTGATTAAAAAGATATAGACATTTAAGGGGTTAGTGCAAGGATCAGCACCATCCTTGCCAAACTTAGGATGGATCTGTCCTGCTAAGCCATTCCTAACAGTGTAAAATATCTTCATTTCTCAAAAAACTTGTGCAACCCCAGGATGACTGGCAACCAATCTTTGTTTCCTAAAATTCAGAGTGCAATGTAAAACCTTTTTTTTTTTTTTTTTTTTTGGGTGCAATGGAAAAATTAAAGCAACAGCTAACTAGGAAATCTCCAGTCAGGAGCATCTAGAGCCAATAACGGCCTAATTCGAATCAGTGGTTCCATAAAAATCTGAAGCTCCATGGATCCTTTAAGAGCCTCATGAGCAAGAAAAACTGCACACTGATTTGCCTCACGAGGCCCATGGAATATATGACACGTCCAGTTCCACCCGAGAATTTGACAGATTTGAGCCACTAAGTTGTATTCTGCATGTCCCTCAGTTGGATGTTGTATCAGCGACACCGCCTCAAGAGAGTCTGTTTCCAACACAATCAATCGAAAACCCCATTCCCAAGCTAACAACATCCCATTCTTCTGGAGAATCCTCCAATCCAAAGCCCATGACTGTCTCGAATTAACCCACCAATGTCCGCACAATCCGGATTGCCAACTGAAGACCTCAGTATTTATCTTCACGAAATGGCCCATCGGTGGCTGCCATTGCACTCTAACACACCTCTGTTTCTGAATACAGAACCGTTGTGCTAATTCAACCTCCTCAGTGTTTCCATAGATTTCCATCACTGGATTTGAAGGCGGAACAAACTATGGATCAAGGCACAGTTTATTTCTCCAAAACCAAACAGAGGCTATAGCACACATAAAGAGTGATTGCCAATGATCCTTAGTTTCCACACCACCCAGCTCCCCACTCATATTAGCATCAATCCAACTCTTTAAAGGGAGACTAAAAAATCTTTCATGCAGGTTAATTGGCACCAATCGCCGCCAAATGGTTCGTGGAAGGGAACAATCTCTTAAAGCATGAACCACTGTTTCACTATGATAACCACACAAGGAGCAACTTGCATCATCAGAGATATGCCGCCAGACAATCAGTTCATTAGTTAAGAGCCTTCCAAATATGTTACACAAGGTCAAGCTGGGTCAAGCTAGGATGCTATACAATACAATGTCATATTGAGGGATGTTTGCATAAGCTATCTAAAAATGCCAAGCCCGCTCAAAAAGCTTACATAAAAATTAATTTAAAAAATTAAGCAAGCTGCAATTTTCAGCTCTTTTGGTCACTCTCATGAATTGTATGATTCATACAATACAACCATGATTGCGAGTGAAGTTTAGTAACGTGTAAGAGAAATGCTTTGACCTGATTTCAGAAGAGAATGAAACGGGGTAAAAAAACTAAGCAAATAATTAAAATGGTAAAAATTTGGAAAAATAAAAAATAAAACTGAAACATCCATTTTGAACAACAAAAGGCCCGCAATTAATTAAGTCTGAAGCAGGTTCCCAACAAGCCTTACAAGGAACTCCCAGGAATTTTAACTGGTCTACCGAACAACGGCTGATATTGATGTAGCATTGGAGCCCATATTGGCAAACCAAACATGAATCTTTGAATTCATTTGGCTTTCACGCTCAATTACTGTTAGCATTCATGGTCAATTCTAATTTTCATTTTTAAATTGTAATCAGCCTACTATGTTCATATTTCAAATTTAAAATATAGAAATTGATCAATCAGAATCAGCCAAACTCACCTAAACCCCTAGCATACACAGGTGTCCGTTTAACATTCTACAACAAAAAATGGTTTTTTTCCAATAAATAGAGCACCACATTTATTACAGTAGTATGTTATGCCATTAAATGCAACACAAGGTTTCCAACTTCTATTGTTGATGTAATTTGAAAAGTACTGGGCTTTAATTCGGAAAATTCAAAACCCAAGATTTAATTTGAAATTTATGTAAAACCCTAGTTATTATTATTATTATTATTATTATTGTTATTATTTTCCCCAGAAAAATAATAATTTAGTCTCTGACCATCTCAGCTAAGATAAGAGAGTGAACTCAACCCAAATATTAAAGATTAAACAAGGCAGCAATTTTTTTCATTCTGATACTGAAAAATAAAGAAGAACATAAAAGATAAATATATAGCTATGTCTATAGATATAGACATATACCAACTTCATAAAGGAGTCCACTAAAAGAAGTGCAGCCAGGTCCACCAGTGAGCCAAAGAAAAAGTGGGTCTTCTTGAGGGTTCCCTTCTGATTCAATGAAATAATAGAACAACTCCGAATCATCAACGCTGATATATCTGTCAAAATCAACAACAAACCCATCATCAGATTTCAACTCAAGCAAATTACCAATTGTACCCACAAATCACTGGGAAAAAAATTGGGGAAAAAAACCAAAAAAAAAAAGACTTGCCCTGTTTCAAGTTTGAAGGGAAGTTCACCATCAAAACCAGGTAAATACTTGACAATCTGACCACCAAGGACTGGTTGTGCCAAGAGAACTAGTAGAAGAAGAAGATGGTTTTGTACCCATCTGATCCAAGCGCAAGTTGGCTTTTGTAGAAGCTGCTTCTGAGAAGCAGCAATGGCTTCTACTTGCACCATCTGTGAGAAATTTATGAGCTAATAGAGGCAAAAGAAAATCTGGAAGGGACGATCAATGTATAATGATCATTTTCATGAACCCAGAATCATTTTATTCTTCCGATTTTGATATTAGAGTTACGTATGTAAATTTTTTTCTTCTGTTCTAAAATATATTTTTAAAAAAAATAAAAAGTCAATAATTTATTTGAGAAGGGTTAAAAATGGCTTTCAATGAAGTGTTTGAGAAAGCGCCAATTGACACAGTTCAGATATTGGATGAGCGGACGGTGTTTGTGTTAGCCCAATTCGCTAATTTAAATTATTTATTTTTGTTAAATATTTTTTATATTTCATATTTAAAGAAATTTAAGTGTAATTTGGTTAATTTATCACCAAAAAAATAAATAACAATTTTATTTTTAAAAATAAATTGTATATTTTTTAATGACAAACGTAATAAATTAAATAAATTACAATTATCATATCAACTTAATCTTTTTTATGAATAAAATACACAAAATGTCCAATAAAAATAAACGTTTCAAATTATCAAAACGAAATCCATAATAAACTTCACGGATCTAAACAGCTCCCTCTGAACTAGAGGGGATCCTCATCCTTGTAGAAATTATAAAAGAAAATCTCATTGTAACAAAATAAATATTTAAATTTATTAATTTAAATATTAATTTATAAATTATTTATCTATTTTTATTAAATAAAATTAATAAAAAAATATTTTAATTATTAAACTCAATAAAAAAAAATCATCCCCATCTCCCATGGGTGGTTCATCGTCCCATTCTTGATCATTCTCTCCCATCACTGGTGATTCATGAGAGACGCCATGTTGGTAGTTTGGGTACTGACTTTCATCGACAAATAAAATAATATAAATAGTTAGATTTTTGTATGTAAATTATGAAAACAAAAAAATATTGAAATCTGCAATTTATGTATCAATTTTTAATTTGTCACAATTTCAATCATATAACTTTCAACCCACTTGCTAGAGTTGTAAATTTGAGCGAGTTAAAATCAAGCAACTCGAGTCAAACATTTAAATTTTTAATGATTGGGCAACATAATCTTTAATTCGATGAGAACCTGTAAAATTCAAATAAATTTGAATGAATTTGGGCAAAGCTATCAAATAACCAAAGCAATCGAAACAAAATTGTAATATAAATATATAAAATTTGTGTGAGTGATTTTCCGATCATATTGCCCAACTCAGTATTCAGCTGGAGAGTATTGGCAGAATAGATGACACATGGCTGACCTGCAACAGAAAGAGAGGATTCCGGCAGTGGTTCGTCCATCTGGGGGCACTCCGAAGATCAAGTCAGTATATCTCTCAAAGATAATCAATAGCACTAATCTCAGTATTCGGAATATAGATTGCGTACCTTAGACCCATCGGGGGTGCCTCTCTTTTATAGTTAACTCAATCCTTGTCTCACTAGAAGCCTAACTTCAATGGACTTAGGATTACTGCTAATCTTGGACTCTCTAAGAAATAACTGCTAATCTTAGACTCTCTAAGAGATAAAGATAAATTTCCTAAAAGTGTTATCCTTATCCATGCTATAGTCTTTCCTCATTCTAGGACTCTTATACCTTATTCTCTTATTTCGGATTCTGATATCTTCGGAGATAACTTCGGCTTTGCCGAGATCACCTTGGCGTCAAGTCTTGGACACGTAACACGTCGGCTGACACGTCGGCGTCACCTTGGCCACGTATTGGGACTCAGAAAATATATCCCCACAAAATTATTTGCTAATTATTTTTTAATAATAAATAAGATTAATTAAAAATTTAATAGTAATGAACAAAAGCAAATATACATTTTAGAAAGGGATCATCGGATAAATTGATATTAAAAAAAATTACATTTTATAATGGCATAAAATAATTTAAATATGATCTTTCAAAAAAAAAAATTAATTTAAAAATTACAATAAAAAATTTAAATATAATAAAATTAAATTTCTTACAAAATAAAAGTATCTAGATAAATAAATAAAAAAAGGTAAGAATAAAATTTAGAATGATATTTTCATTTGTTATGAAAATAATTTTAAATGGCCAATTATCACTTATAACCCCCATTATTGTTAAATAAAAAAAGATATTTCACGAATCGTCACTTTTATTAGAAAAATAACATTTATTTCTATTTGTTTTAACAAAAGTCACTTGTTAGCAATTTGAGCCATTTTTGTCATTGTTTATTTTAATTTATTTAATTGACAATTGAGATTAAAAAAAAAAATTAACAGGACCGACTATATTTCACAAGTGTTAAAAAAGTCTAAATGAACAACAAGAAAAATGTTTGAGACCCAAAAACAAAAAATATAATTGTACCCATAGTGATATGGTATCATATGTGTCAACTCTTAATTTGCTATACAATTAATGACATGGGGTCCAACTCCATTGCCAAATTATTGTGGGTGAAAGTGTGGATCTGTAGCATTGCTGAAATAATAAATTATCACGTATAACTCTCATTTTCTTTTCTTATTATATATTAAAAAAAATAATAAGTTTCACCAACTATCGCTTTTAATAGAAAAAATATATTTATTTCCATTTGATTTTAACAAAAGTCACTTCTTAATTATTTAAGTTTAAAAAAATTATTTTTTTATTTTAATTTGTTTAATTGACAATTGAGATTAAAAAAAAAAAACCATAATGCATAGCATATTATTTGTTAAAAAAATCCATTATGCTTGGCAAATTTATAGCGATCCCGGGTTTACCCTTGTTGTACAGTGATCCGGACATGTGTCCGTAGATGTTGGTTGTTGTTTATTATCGTGTTTGCATCCTTTGTACTTTGTTTTTTGAGTTATGGGATGTGTTGGGCAGGTTTGTTACAGGTTAGTTGTGCTTGGGAGCCTAGTGTTGCTGCCCAGATTTTTGGTCCTTCGCTCGAGCGAGGAGTTTGTCGCTCGAGCGAGAGTAGTGTTGCCCCGGTTCTGGACCTGAGAGTTGTAGTTTCTGGCTCGAGCGAGCTTTTCGTGGCTCGAGCGGTCTGGGTTTTTCTTCGCTCGATCGAGAACTTCTTGGCTCGAGCGAGAGTTTTCTGTGTCTGGTCGCTCGAGCGACCAATCCTTCGCTCGAGCGAGCGTGTTTTATATCAGCGTATATCAATCAGTCCATTTTTTTATTTTATTTTATTAAATCCTAAAATTTACACTTTTAGAACCGAAGGTCCTATTTTCAGTTTTATTATATTTTTTTGTGACCATTTTACCCTTATATATATATATATATAGCTTGTTGTTTGAATATCATTTTTAGGAAGTTCGCGATCTATGTTTGGATTCCGGATTCTTTGCAATTTTTGATTTCTCTTTGCCATTTGCCATTTGCCATTTGCTAGTTTTTGAAGCTATAGATTAGGCCCGATTTTGCGATTATTGAAGCTCTAGGTTTTGCGCGATTTCAATTTGCGATTTGCGATTTTGTTTTAGTTGATATTCTGGAGAAGGTTAGTTTTTGTTTAAGATTGCTGTTGTGATTTGTTCTGTTCTTCGTCGTTCTTTATCATTCATCATCAATTGATTACGGTGATATTTATGTTATGTGATTAATCATTGATTCATTGTTATGATGAAATCACTGTGTTTATGTGGAATTTTGAAAGATGAAGTTTTGTTGCATCAGTGTTTGAACAAGTTGTTGTTAAGCATTTAGTGAACTGGAAGTTCACGCTATCAGTAAATGAATTTTATAATTAAAATTGTATGTATGTGTGTATACTGTGAACTTAGAATTTGTTGTATGTGGTGTGTATGATGATAAATATAGGGCTTATGATTGTTTGTTGAGGAGATAGAGTTTTCTTTGTATGATGTGAATATTTGAACTATTTAAAAATCTTGATACATTTCATTGTGTTAGCAAATCTTCACACATATGAATGTGATTGAATATTCAAATTATTTTATGTACTATTGATGATTTTGCAGTGTGATACGAGACAAATGGATTTTTTCATGTTGTTGTTGTGCTGCTACGGGTCAAACATGTTTGTGATAAATATGGTACAACCATTTTCCTTTGACCAGTTAGTGAAATGTGTGTGCAACAGATGGTGTGATTTGTCTACTGATTCAATCACTATGTTTTACCAACTGCCAGGGTATAAGAATTGTCATTTGGATAACAATGAGGAATTGCAAAACATGTTATTGCTTGGTAAATCAATTGGAGTTAAACGAATTGATGTTGTTGTTGACCAAAAATTAGGCACTGATAGACATAGCAGTTTAGCAAATCCATGCATTAAAGATAAGGATCAAACAAATTTGCTTCGTAGATATTGTGCGCACAGTGAGAAGATTTTGTTGTCTTCAGTTTGGGCAAATGGTATTATGCATGTTGGTTAATGTTTTACAGGAGAAGCATTTGAGTTTCGTACTATTTTATGTAAATATGCAGTGCAATATGGGTTTAAATTCAAATATTTGAAGAACGATTCAGAAAGAATTACTGCTATTTGTTCACATAGAGATAATAAGGGATGTTTGTGGTCTGTGCATGGTAGAGCCCAAAGAACAAACCAATTTTTCTACCTTAAGAGATGGACTAAGATACATAGTTGTGGTGCTGATGTTCGTACTTCAAAAAATCCAAGGCTCAGCTCTGATTTGGTGTCAAATGTTGTATCTGAGCATATTAAGGACTGACCACTAACGCACCCCACTGATGTGGCATATACTTTCAAGGCAAACTATGGACTTGATATCAGCTACCATGTAGCATGGTTAGGTGTTGAGAAAGCGAGAGAGGCTATGCATGGTGATTACTTAACATCGTTTGACCAACTGAGATGGTACGGTGATGATGTTCAACATTATAATTTGGGGAAGTCATATCAATATTGACTATGATTCGAAAACTACTCAATTTAAAAGGTTTTTTGTAGCATTCGCTGCGTGCATCAATGGCTTCAAATATTGTCGCCCTTGCTTTTTCTTGATGGAACATTTCTAAAAGGGAGATACAAAGGGCAGTTGTTTACAATGACAGCTAAAGACGATAACCAAGGTTTGTTTAGCTTTTTGATGTGAAGTTTTACATTTGTTTACTTTTTGTGTGTCAATTGTTACTGTTAACATGGGTTTTGTTTTTAGGATTGTTTCCAGTAGCCTTTGCAATTGTTGATTCGGAGAGTGAATC